CAGGGCATCCGAGAGCATGAATTCAGCGACTGTGTGTGCAAGTGACATGATACTGGTGTGTGTGTGTGTGTGTGTGTGTGTGTGTATGTGTGTGTGTAGTTGGTAGACAGGAGACAGTCGGAGGTGGCAGGATGGTCCAAGGCAGATGAGAGGAAATGGCAGCTTCAAGCTACTGACTTTAAACAGAGCATCTGCAGTCTAGCCTCATGGATATCATTGCTCAGAGAAGGGGTGGTTCTCTAAATAACTGGCCAGGCCAAGGGCCAGGCACCCTAGTAATTAAAGGGAGGCATAGTCTTAGTGGTAGTGGGTACTTCTTGGGTATGGGCTGGACTTCACCTAGGACTGATGGCAGGCTGCTTTCCCTGGGGCTGTTCCTAAGCACATGAGAGTTCCCCTGTGGCTTTATGCTGCCCTCTCATTAATGAGGTCTTTTCTGCTGTGTTGTGGAGAGGAGTGAGGGGGGTGTGCTATGGAACCATGCCTCCTCTATAATTGGTGTGGAATTTAGGTGGAGCAGGTTTCAGTGGGTTCAAGGTCTTTATTTGTTGGTTTATGGTTGTGGATGTACCTTCTAGGCTCAGCCAGAATTACCACTAGTATTTGTCCCAATGATGATTGTAACTCTGAGCCCTGGCTCTTTCCTAGAAACAGCCCGATATTTGATGTTAAATTTCATTCTCTGCCTTTGGTCTTCTTCTAAAATATTTCTGCCAGGTATTTTCAATTCCTTTCTAGACACACCTACTCTCTGGAAAAGCTTCATGGGATGGATGCATGGCAGTGTTGAGTAGTGGAAAGAACATACACTTTTAAATTTGGAGGGAAAATCATCCACCTGTCAGTACTCATTTTTTATTATGTGACCTGGATTAGGCCTATATTGAGGTTTTAGTAAGATTCAACATGCTTTTAGTTTTTCTATTCCTAGAGGCTGACTGTGGGATACTAACGCTGAGGGAAATAGAACTGGGACTTAATCCCTGATGGGTACGGAGGGAATCTGGAAGGCCTGTGTTCCATGGTAGGAAAGCTGCCACTCTGGAGATGGAGATGTAGTCCAAGTAAATGTGGACTCTATCTTTTCCAGTTTCTCCCTCTGAAACTGTGCTGCCTTAAAGTGAGCACATGGTTGATTCTATCTCCCTTTAGAAGTAGACATTCCTATTGGTTCTATCTCTTCCCACCATGGCATCCAATCCCTCTCGTAACTTTCTCCAATAGCAGATGTGCATAGGGGGACTTTATCCCCCCTGCCTGAATTCAAAATGCCACAGCCTGAATTTTTGGCTACATTAATTTGGTCATTAAGTTTTGCCTTGATAGCTTTCAATGTATAGAAAATAACCATGTCGCCCATGTGACTCTTTTGAATTTTATATATAAAACAAAAGGGGGAATTGTGGGGAACAGGAAAATTTCTCCCAAGTCATCTCCCCCAAATATATGTTAGAATTAGGACCCTGCTTGCAGGTCCACAAGTAGGGCCAACTCCCTGCAGTTAAGGACAATGGGCTACTTCTCCCTAAAGGCTTGCAGTCATTGGTTTGGTTCCTGTAGGTGGGGTTTGCACCCTACTGATAATGGTTTCTATAGTGGGCCAGAGAACAGGTCAAACCGGCTCAGTGACATCCAAACTTAGACAGCCATCCTGAACCTAGGATCCACCCATCTTGTCACATGTATACCCCCACTCTCTCCTCTTCCTATTGCATGTATATCTCTAGATCACCCTCCTCCCATTACTGTTTACCTATAGCACAACCCTATCCTGTGATGTATAGCTTCACCTGTAATTAGGGGGCTTGCACGTCCCCAGAGAATATAAAAGCCTTGAGTAGCAATAAATATCACTTTCTCCACGTGGACCACCAAGTGAGGCTGAGGTGAGCATGCTGCCATGAAATGTGTCTGACTCCATTATGTCAATCTCTCCTCTATCTCTCATGCTCTCTATGGCTTTACTATAATCTTTACTTATTATCACTGTACAATTGTGCCTACCAGACCCCTGATGATTGGTTGGGGGCCCTTTCCCCCATAGCTGACTTTTCTGATTTTTTAATTAAGAGACCTTGAGTCTTTTTTCTTTTAAGCTCCAACATACTCTGTTGAGAAACGCTACGGGGTGAAACCAGTCAGCGTCCGAACTTGGTGGGACTGCTTTTTCAGGTTACACACGTTTTCTGCCACTTTTCTTACTACCTTTCTGACCCTTAATATAGTGGAAAATATTTGAGTTTTCTTCCACTGATAGGTTTCCAACTTGCAGAGATTCCAGCTCATATTTTCAGTTCAGCTCTTTAGCTGCCCACTACATGTAGCTTCATCATCTCGTAAATATTTTAAAAGGGCTACTGGGTCAGTGAATTTGTATCATTGAGTTTAATGCAGACCTTTTCTTAAATTTTACTTTTCATTTTAGCCACACCACCTGAGCACTCAAAAGATATACCCTGTTGGGGAAACTGCCTATTAATTTGTAGTCCCTAATTTCTCATTATAACTCTATCCCATCACAGCTATTTTATAGTTTGATGGTTCTTTCCGCCCCCACCCAACAGAGGCCTTTTCTGATAGACCCAAGACCAGTGATGAATTAGCATTTGAACAAAGAAAATGCCTACAGAGAATAACTCCTGGAGATTGTCATTCTATCTGAAAATGGCTCTACTCCTTCTGCAATCTCAATACATATTGTCTTAATGTCTTTCATAGTTTCCTGATATCCACAAAACACACCTTCAGCAATTAACACAACTTTTTCTACTTGTTGCTGCAGGTGTATTCATTTTGAAGACATAGTTTATTTTAATGTGAATGATTCAAACCCACAAGCCTTTCCACCAGAGAAAAACTTTCTGCTCCCATAAAGACTTGCAGTTTCTGAAATCCTAAGGAATAGCTCTACTCTGTCCTGTAGAATTCCTGTGGGTTAGAATTGGCTCAGTTACAGTTGGTTAGAAGTACAATTGTGTTTTATATTTCATTCTGTTTAAAAAAAAATAACTAAATCATTTTATTGGGGCTTGTACAACTCTTATCACAATCCACACATACATCCATTGTGTCAAGCACTTTTGTACATTTATTTCCTTCATCATTCTCAAAACATTTGCTTTCTACTTGAGCCCTTGGTATCAGCTCCTCATTTTCCCCCTCCCTTCCTGCTACCCCCTTCCCATGAACCTTTGATCATTTATAAATTATTATTATTTTGTCATATCTTACACCGTCCAACATCTCCCTTCACCCATTTTTCTGCTGTCCATCCCCCAGGGAG